GTACCACATACAGTGTCAAGGACAGAATTCCAAGGGCCCATGTAAGGAAACCTATATCGGAGAGACTGAAAGATCGCTCAAGGCTAGGTTCCTAGAACACAAACGACCTAGCTCAACTACCTCTGAGGTTTCACAACATATACATATAGAATCCCCTGGACATTCAGTCTCACTGGACAAAGTAAAAATCTTGCACACAGAACCGGAATTTTTTGCACGAGGGATTAAAGAGGCCATCTACATTTCATTTATTTCATTTATTTCGAAACCTTTTAGCCCCGAAGGGCTAATCTTCCAAGGCTCAAACATTATAGCAATTACAACATAGTGGAAACATTTAAAAATACATACATACATACATGTACACCACGTCAACAATAAATACACATAGATATAAACAATTTAAAAGTGGCGAGCAAGGGTCAAGGATCAGGTGACACTACTACTGTTTGAAACGGCTTTCTTAAAACTAGATAACATCGCACAGTGTCTTAACGTCAGATGGTAGATCGTTCCAGAGCACGACTGCACGATACAGGAATGAGAGTTTTCTGCTGTTGGACTTAGGTATTGGTAATCTAAAGTTATGTGCGGAAGATCTGGTATTATGACTGTGAGATGCATGAACAGGCAAAAGGGAGTTGTAAATATTTTGTGGTTCGTGACTCGTGAGGATCTTAAAGAACATGACCAAAGTGCTTTTCAAGAATCTCTCTCTCACAGTCGGCCAACCAAGATCTAGATGCATCTGCCTGGTAGGAGTATCAGGAGTACATTTCAGTAACAGTCTACATGCCCTATTCTGCACTACTTGCAGTTTGCGCATGTTGGAGTCTGACATGTTGGCTAAGACTGGTGCGCAGTACTGCACAACTGACAGAACCAGTGCACAAACAACAACCTTGCAAACTGCAAAAGGCATCGCCCACATATGCCTTCTCAATAGGGCAATGTTTCTTGATTGTCTTAACGCAATGTGAGTAACATGTGAATTCCATGTGAGAGACCTATCCATGTGTAGACCCAACAAAACTGGGCTTTACAGCCATCCCTCAACAGAGACGGGGGGCGCCACAGACTTTCTGCAACCTATGATCCACTGCTCACGGAGTCAGGTGTGTTATCTGCGTGACGTCACGGAAGCGGTGGATTGCTCATTCCTTGAAAAAGATTGGAGTTGTACAGTCGAAAATTTGGGTGAGTCCAATTTTTGTTGTGTTGGAAATTACAGTTTAAACTTTCTTCATAATAAGCATTATTATTATATACGAATGTAAGCACCATTGCAAGTTAGCTGTAAGATACTGTTTACTGTCAAATTACCGACCCATATCTATTTTACCAGTCTTTTCAAGAGTTCCACGAGAACTTCTTGCCCAACCGGGAACACTTGGTCTTGTTAACGTTGTAAGTGACTGTGTCTGGTTTCTGTTTGACAAAAAAATAATGTGTTTATTGAAACCACGACTGGTCACTATCTGGAACAAACTAAGTCCTGATCTTCGAATGTAAAACTGGTACGCAGGTCACCTGATTGTCCAATATTTTGGCATCTAAGCGATCTCTTGTAAGAGCTACATTCAGTAGATTTTATGATCGCCACAGTTCTGACCTTCCTTGCCCATGGTCCATGTCGTGTGGGTGCGCCTCCTGTACGGCTTTACGACCTCATTTAGTATAATTACTAGATTTTAATCATTGTCATGTTTGTACATAATGTATAATGTTTCATGACATTGTATTGTACAGTATTTAATGTTTAATGCACGATATTGTAGGAATTTGTAGTTCATGTTAATGTGATTCAATATCGTAATCTGTTTTGTATCTAATATTGTAACTGTATATTGTGGTGTTTGGGAGGACAACTTGTAAAGGTGTCAATGCACCTGTTTTGTTCTCCCTTCCATTTGTATATTTCTACTTGTGGTAAACTCAAATAAACAATAAACATGAGACAATATTTTGGTATTTAGGACACAGTGTAAGAACTCAGCATCCGTTCATATAACTAGAAATCGCTTTACCTGCTCTGGAGGCGTACATCGGGTTTGGTATATTCGCGACGGCGTCCGCAAGGGACCTCCAATCAGTCTGGTCTTGCTGCTCAAGTGTGGCGTCTGATGGAGAATTAGACAATAAGCATTATTGTTATATACGAATGTAAGCTACATTGCAAGTTATCTGTAAGATACTGTTTATTGTCAAAATACCGACCCCTATTTATTTTACCAGTCTTTTCAAGAATTCCACGAAAACTTCTTGCACCAGCGGGACCACTTGGTCGTGTTAACGTTGTAAGTGATTGTGTCATTGGTTTCTGTTTGACCAAACAAGTATCTATTGAAACCACGACTGGTCACTATCTGGAACAAGCTAAGTCCTGATCTTCGTATGTAAAACTGGTACACAAGCCACCCGATTGTCCAATATTTTGGCATTTAAGCCATCTCTTGTAAGAGCTACATTCAG